GATAGATAGATAGATAGATAGATAGATAGATAGATAGATAGATAGATAGATATAGATAGATAGATAGATAGATAGATAGATAGATAGATAGATAGATAGATAGATAGATAGATAGATAGATAGATAGATAGATAGATAGATAGATAGATAGATAGATAGATAGATAGATAGATAGATAGATAGATAGATAGATAGATAGATAGATAGATAGATAGATAGATAGATAGATAGATAGATAGATAGGTAGATAGATAGATAGATAGATAGATAGATAGATAGATAGATAGATAGATAGATAGATAGATAGATAGATTAGATAGATAGATAGATAGATAGATAGATAGAGATAGATAGATAGATAGTGATAGATAGATAGATAGATAGATAGATAGATAGATAGATAGATAGATAGATAGATAGATAGATAGATAGATTTAAGTGTTCTATCTACCCCAAAAACACAACATTCGTTCCACTGTCGCTTTTCCCCAAACAAATACCAAAATGTCGAAAGTCATCAAAAAATGGCGTGCATTGCAATTTCATAACATTCTTTAGTAGTATTTTGTTTGTTTTTTTTATTTAATTTTTTTCTCTCCTCTACTATTGTCTGCAAATAGCAAACTAAATAAACATACCGCTTCATCACCTTTAGCATGAGCTTTAATTATATCAAAAACTTTTGTTTCCTTCTTTATTATATTTATTACTTGTAAAACAAAACAAATCTGTTGTATTTATGAACTCATACCGTAAATGTATTAAAAAAATCTACTTAATATAGGTAGAATCCTTTAAAACATACACACGAACCCGTTAAATAAGTTGTAACGAATTTGTGACGTTTTCATGTCAATATTTTGAAAACGAAATGTTTGAACAATTTCCATGACGTTTCCGATTTGTGGATGTATATGTTTAAGCGAGTTACAAAGATGATGCGAAGGGGGTAGGAATAGTTCTATATAGATTGTTTTTTATACTTTGATTTAGTAAGTCTAAGTTAATGGAGTAGACATATAAATATCAACATAAAACTTATGTTGATTACTACCCAAACCACTAGTTGCTAAATTAATATCAACATGACTACAAAAATTATAATATATTTATTTTTGTAACATTTCAACATGCGATTTATGTGTAGTATTAGTAGTGTAAATAACAAAATACAATTATATTAAAGCTATTTCCCACTTCTTTTGGAAATGTGAACACATTACCTGAGGCATTAATAAAAATCGAAATAATCAATTATTTTGCAATAAAAGGCAAGAGTCAATGTTTTCGTAATAGATAATTATTTCACAAATTTCTCACAACCTAATAGACTCATTTAGTTGTTGAGAAATGTACTAACTAACTAACTAACTAACTAACTACTAACTAACTAACTAACTAACTAACTAACTAACTAACTAACTAACTAACTAACTAACTAACTACTAACTAACTAACTAACTAACTAACTAACTAACTAACTAACTAACTAACTAACTAACTAACAACTAACTAACTAACTACTAACTAACTACTAACTAACTAACTAACTAACTAACTAACTAACTAACTAACTACTAACTAACTAACTAACTAACTAACTAACTAACTAACTAACTAACTAACTAACTAACTAACTAACTAACTAACTAACTAACTACTAACTAACTAACTAACTAACTAACTAACTAACTAACTAACTAACTAACTAACTAACTACTACTAACTAACTAACTAACTAACTACTACTACTACTAACTACTAACTAACTACTAACTAACTAACTAACTAACTAACTAACTAACTAACTAACTAACTACTAACTAACTAACTACTAACTAACTAACTAACTAACTAACTAACTACTACCTAACTACTACTAACTAACTAACTAACTAACTAAACTAACTAACTAACTAACTAACTAACTAACTAACTAACTAACTACTAACTAACTAACTAACTAACTAACTAACTAACTAACTAACTAACTAACTAACTAACTAACTAACTAACTAACTAACTAACTAACTACTAACTAACTAACTAACTAACTAACTAACTAACTAACTAACTAACTAACTAACTAACTACTAACTAACTAACTAACTAACTAACTACTAACTAACTAACTAACTAACTAACTAACTAACTAACTAACTAACTACTAACTAACTAACTAACTAACTAACTAACTAACTAACTAACTAACTAACTAACTAACTAACTAACTACTAACTAACTAACTAACTAACTAACTAACTAACTAACTAACTAACTAACTACTAACTAACTAACTAACTAACTAACTAACTAACTAACTAACTAACTAACTAACTAACTAACTAACTAACTAACTAACTAACTAACTAACTAACTAACTAACTAACTACTAACTAACTAACTAACTAACTAACTAACTAACTAACTACTAACTAACTAACTAACTAACTAACTAACTAACTAACTAACTAACTAACTAACTAACTACTAACTAACTAACTAACTAACTACTAACTAACTAACTAACTAACTAACTACTACTAACTACTAACTAACTAACTAACTAACTAACTAACTAACTAACTAACTAACTAACTAACTAAACTACTACTAACTAACTAACTAACTAACTAACTAACTACTAACTAACTAACTAACTAACTAACAACTAACACTAACTAACTAACTAACTACTAACTAACTAACTAACTAACTACTAACTAACTACTAACTAACTAACTAACTAACTACTAACTAACTAACTACTAACTAACTACTAACTAACTAACTAACTAACTAACTAACTAACTAACTAACAACTAACTACTAACTAACTACTAACTAACTAACTAACTAACTAACTAACTACTAACTAACTAACTAACTAACTAACTAACTAACTACTAACTAACTAACTACAACTAACTAACTAACTACTAACTAACTAACTAACTAACTAACTAACTAACTAACTAACTAACTAACTAACTACTAACTAACTAACTAACTAACTACTAACTAACTAACTAACTACTAACTAACTAACTAACTACTAACTAACTAACTAACTAACTAACTAACTAACTAACTAACTAACCTAACTAACTAACTAACTAAAACGGGCTGAAATCGTCAAATGATTTAAGAAAATCACGAAAAATTGTCCAATGCAATTATTTTTTGTCAGTGTAAATATAACGTGTCAACTATTGTTTGCATATGACTGGTGAAATGTAAAAGGAGTTAACTTCAAACTTCTTAAGTTTGAAATTTGAAAAAGATTTTCAAAAATACATATTTTCTGAAGTATATTTACAGATAAATTTTACTTCTATTATGAAAAATTTTTATTTTACAAAACATGGAATTAGTACATTTTGCGCTCAGTCGAAAATATGGTGGGATATTATTATAATGCCGTGACAAAATTAAATACTCAATAATAGAAAACTAAATAAAAACTTATAATAATAAACTTGGATATCAAGTATAAGAAAATTATTTTCGTAACATGGTTTCATTAAAAAGTAATAAATATTTTCAAATTTTAAGCAGTTTAATTTAAGGCAGCGACCAAGGCGTTTATGATTAAGAGATAATAAATGAAATTGAAGAAAATTAAGATAAAAAGGAAACAGTTTTTGAGGAAATATAAAAAAATACTTGAAACCAAAATACGAAATACTCAAGAGGAATTTAAAAACCGAGAATTTTTGACCGATATATACGATATTCTGTCACATAAAGCCGAAAAAATGTCAACTCCTAAGTCATAGGACATGTTAAAGTGACAAGTTTCGTTCATATAAAGTGTTAAAATAAGAAAATAAATCATTTCGGGTCTAATTTTGTGTCCGTGGAAATGGAAAAAGGATGTAAAGGCAGTTCAATCAGCCGAGATATTCAGTGAAGGCCTATACCGAAAACAGTTGATTCGTTTAAAGCGAGCTTTGGCCGAAAAACTCTAGGAATATGCGAGCAGACATGAATCTGTATGTCCAATGTCCAATGTTCAGATGTTGCTAATTCAGATATTGCCCAACCCCAAAGAATCTGCTGATGAACGTGGCAATGAAAAATGGAGCCATAAGGATAAAAGGGAATCAAAAAATCGTATATAAAGGCGGACCTTAACCACAAAGAATTTGTTTAAGACTGTGGCAGTCAAAAATGGAACCCTGAGAATAATCCCGAGCCAATAAATCACAGGTAAAGTCCGGCCCACTAGTCGATTAGACGACAATGTTGAATATCTAAAGAACTCGGAATTTTGTAGTTCCTGAAGAGTTCCATCTCTTATGAGCTGATAGAATCGGATCAGACAATCTCGTAGTACCTATACCGGACACAATTGATTACGATCTACATTACTTGGAAACAGTAAAGAGACAATAGTCTTTCTTGTTAATTACAAAAGTATATAGAACCAATCAGTCTGTTACGATTACATTGACTCTTTCTGAAACTGTTGGGTATTGATAAAAATTTCAAAATAAAATTATACAAACCCCTTTTCCTTTAATTCTGGACGCTTTGTCTCCTGCAGCACCGGAAACACTACGCATATTGCTAACATCACTTTTCTTTTTAGCAGCAGAATGCATTATGTCACAATTTTAATCAAAAATTTTCGCAAGAATAATAAAATAACAACACAAAATCAATCAAAAATATATAAAATACTTATGTAATTATTCCCGACTTTTTATAATTTCTTTGTTCCAAAATAGTGAAATAGTTTGCAAATTATTGCTTTTTTCTAAATTTAGCTTTAATAAGAAAATCTCTTGACAATTTGTTATTGTTTTTATTAAATAAAATTTCTTCTTTTTTTTATCACAGCACATATAAACAAAACAAAAATATTTTAAGTTAAATTTTGTTTTACTATAAAAATTTGTTATAAAATATAGAAAACATAATAAAATAGCACATACTACATAGGACAACCCATCAACAATAACAAATAAGTTACTATAGAAATTTCATTTACTATCGATTATACGAATTTAATAACCAATATTCGAATAATAAATAATTTCCTTTCATTCAAATCATTGATATATTTTTTACATTATCCTTTATGGCAAATTTTTCTTTACACATTTTAAAGTAATAATAACGTTCCTTTGGTCCTGGTTGAGAAACATGTTGTAAAAATTCTTCTTCATTAAATTCATTGGCTGGATAATGAAAACGTTGTGGTAATTGGCCGGCGGAATCTGCTGTTTCAGCACTGGTATATTCGTTTAGATGTTCCTCATGCATTTTCGGTATAAATTGGAGTGATGTTTGGGGTGTGGTTGGTAAAGAGTGGGAAACTGAAGATGGTATACTTTCTAAAGAACGTTTTTTCAAGCACTCACGTTGCTTTTCTCTTTCAGCTAAAACTTTTAAGAGGATAGGATTTCTGAAAGGGAGGAAAATAAAACAGCAAAAGGAGAGGTTTTAAATAACAAAAGCCTGTTTCAGTGTTTATCTATCTATCTATCTATCTATCTATCTATCTATCTATCTATCTATCTATCTATCTATCTATCTATCTATCTATCTATCTATCTATCTATCTATCTATCTATCTATCTATCTATCTATCTATCTATCTATCTAGCTATCTATCTATCTATCTATCTATCTATCTATCTATCTATCTATCTATCTATCTATCTAGCTATCTATCTATCTATCTATCTATCTATCTATCTATCTATCTATCTATCTATCTATCTATCTATCTATCTATCTATCTATCTATCTATCTATCTATCTATCTATCTATCTATCTATCTATCTATCTATCTATCTATCTATCTATCTATCTATCTATCTATCTATCTATCTATCTATCTATCTATCTATCTATCTATCTATCTATCTTATCTATCTATCTATCTATCTATCTATCTATCTATCTATCTATCTATCTATCTATCTATCTATCTATCTATCTATCTATCTATCTATCTATCTATCTATCTATCTATCTACTATCTATCTATCTATCTATCTATCTATCTATCTATCTATCTATCTATCTATCTATCTATCTATCTATCTATCTATCTATCTATCTATCTATCTATCTATCTATCTATCTATCTATCTATCTATCTATCTATCTATCTATCTATCTATCTATCTATCTATCTATCTATCTATCTATCTATCTATCTTCTATCTATCTATCTATCTATCTATCTATCTATCTATCTATCTATCTATCTATCTATCTATCTATCTATCTATCTATCTATCTATCTATCTATATCTATCTATCTATCTATCTATCTATCTATCTATCTGTCTACCACTCACCTTGTTCTATTTACCCACTTCTCAATCTCCTCATTCGTTATCGTCGAATCGCCCACATAATAATTTTCTGCAATATATTTATTCCTCTGCAGTAACACATTTATATCTACCTCCAATTCTTCATCCAGATCACAGCCGACACAATAAAAAACCAGCAATTTTTCATTCTTTGCTAAGGATTTGATCAACTCATTCGCAGCCAGTGGGGGAATTTTAATGGCACAAATATCCAGTTTAGTTAAAGGTGTATGTTGACCTAACAACTCATTCGCTAGACAACAACATAAGCCCATATCGGTAATAAATTTCGCGCCTCTGATATTTAGCTCCACTATGTGATTAGTACCAATAATCTCGGAAACAAAAGCATGTAAAGCTTTATCTGTTATAGGATTCCGTGCCAAACCCAAATAGGTCATGTCTTTAGCTTTATAATTTTTTAATGATCTACCAATTTGACCTAAAACCTGCTCACCCAAGCCGTTTGATTCCAATTCCAAATTGCAAACAGTTTTAGTAGTTTGAAAAAGTTCCTCGAATGCGGAAGCAGAATCGTCACCTAAGTTATCAAAGCCAAAATCTAAAGTTTCTAAATGTGGCAAAAATCCCAAGGCCCGACAAAGTGTTAAAAGTTTTTCAGCATCCATGCGACTATTGCGTAAACGGAAAGTATGCAGTTTGGACAAATGTTGTAGACCGCTGAAAAGAAAATGCTTTCAGAAATTATAAACAAATTAAATTTTTTAATCACTAACCCTGCTAAACGTTCAATATCGTCTAGCGAGAAATTCATGTGTCTTATTTGATAATTACGATTTTGTAAAGGACCCCCAAAATTCTATGACAAATATTTGTAGATTTGTAAAATATTGCACAAATCCCAGGTCTATATGATGACAATCCTTGGCTGGATAATTGTACTTCTTAATATGCTTTAAAAGTAAAGCTTTATTGCGCTTATCTATGATACGATCTTCACCATCATCTGAACTTTCGGATAATTCTATTTCGAAAACATTGTCGGGAATTTTTTTGCTAGACTTTTTTGGTGGCGGTGGTTCCTTAGTGGCTCTTCTGGCCTCACGTTCTTTACGTTTGGCTTCTTTAGCTTCTCGTGCTTTTCTTTTCGATTCTCTTAATTCCAGACGTTCCTTCTTCATTTGAGCTTTCTTATTGACCATTTCTTTTTCAAGCTCTAATTGGGATTCAGTTTTGTCTTCTTGTTCTATTGCAGATGTTTCTATTACTTCTTCACTAGAACTGCTTAGCAAAGATTCGCTACTTTCTTCTCCTTCTTCTTCCTCTGAGGTTGACTCTGATTGCGAGTGAAAGTACTTTGCAAATGAACGTTCTTTTAAGGATTGCAAACGTTTTATATGCATTTCGCTTACAAAATCTTTAACTTTTAATGCCAAATCTTTCATTTCCTCTTCAGGCCAATATTCAGCTGGACATGATTCCACCAATTCAACGTACTTTAAGGATACACCTAGCTCTTTCCAATTGACATTATTTTTAACAGCTAATGTTTTATCTTTATGCTTGGCTAGCACCACTCTCTTCCAAAAACGTTCTTCCGTTATACTATAGCATTTTTCCAAAGGTAGATCAACATCTAAAGCATCATAGTGTTCTTGTAATAGGCATGGATTGCTGGCTACTATAGGCAAGGGCTGTGGACCAAACGAGCGCGCCAAGACACGTACACATAAATCGGCTAAAGTTCCTAGATTTTTATTTTCTATAAAGGCCTCTGCATATACTGAACGTCCCTGTTCGCTTAGAAGTTGTATTGTCTGTGTCGAGGGCTTATAAATGTCGTATGCTCGTTTTAAGGCGGTATCATTAGGTACACTTATGCTGTTTACATGCACCGGATATGTTAAGGCTTCATTTACCGGTAATTCTTCCATTGGAGGGGAGATTATTAAATGTTGTACAGATTTAAAAATTAATAAAAAAAATCTTTAAATAAATTTATCGATTTACTTTTTTTAATAGTAAAAGCAATGATATGGGGTTAACAATCGCTTCTTGAGATCAAATATATTAGACGGGGTTTGAAAAATTTGTGTCATCTAATATTTAGTTCTAGTTCAGTTCTAGTTCAGTTCTAGTTCTAGTTCAGTTCTAGGTTCAGTTCTAGTTCAGTTTCTAGTTCAGTTCTAGGTTCAGTTCTAGTTCAGTTCTAGTTCGGTTCTAGTTTCAGTTCTCGTTCAGTTCTAGTTCAGTTATAGTTCGGTTCTAGTTCAGTTGCTAGTTCAGTGTTAGTTCAGCTCTAGTTCAGGTTCTAGTTCAGGTCTATGTCAGTTCTAGTTCAGTTCCTAGTTCAGTTCTAGTTCAGGTTCGAGGTCAGTTCTAGTTCAGTTCTAGTTCAGTTCTAGTTCAGTTCTAGTTCAGTTCTAGTTCAGTTCTAGTCAGTTCTAGTTCAGTTCTAGTTCAGCTTCTATTCAGTTCTAGTTCAGTTCTAGTTCAGTTCTAGTTCAGTTTCTAGTTCAGTTCTAGTTCCAGTTTCTAGTTCAGTTCTAGTTCAGTTCTAGTTCAGTGCTAGTTCAGTTCTAGTTCAGTTCTAGTTTCAGTGCTTAGTTCAGTTCTAGTTCAGTTCTAGTTCAGTTCTAGTTCAGTTCTAGTTCAGTTCTAGTTCAGTTCTAGTTCAGTTCTAGTTCAGTTCTAGTTCAGTTCTAGTTCAGTTCTAGTTCAGTTCTAGTTCAGTTCTAGTTCAGTTCTAGTTCAGTTCTAGTTCAGTTCTAGTTCAGTTCTAGTTCAGTTCTAGTTCAGTTCTAGTTCTAGTTTCTAGTTCAGTTCTAGTTCAATTTCTAGTTCAGTTCTTCATTCTAGTTCAGTTCTAGTTCAGTCTAGTTCAGTTCTAGTTCAGTTCTAGTTCAGTTCTAGTTCAGTTCTAGTTCAGTTCTAGTTCAGTTCTAGTTCAGTTCTAGTTCAGTTCTAGTTTCAGTTCTAGTTCAGTTCTAGTTCAGTTCTAGTTCAGTTCTAGTTCAGTTCTAGTTCAGTTCTAGTTCAGTTCTAGTTCAGTTCTAGTTCAGTTCTAGTTCAGTTCTAGTTCAGTTCTAGTTCAGTTCTAGTTCAGTTCTAGTTCAGTTCTAGTTCAGTTCTAGTTCAGTTCAGTTCTAGTTCAGTTCAGTTTCTAGTTCAGTTCTAGTTCAGTTCTAGTTCAGTTCTAGTTCAGTTCTAGTTCAGTTCTAGTTCAGTTCTAGTTCAGTTCTAGTTCAGTTCTAGTTCAGTTCTAGTTCAGTTCTAGTGTCAGTTCTAGTTCAATTCTAGTTCAGTTCTAGTTCAGTTCTAGTTCAGTTCTAGGTCAGTTCTAGTTCAGTTCTAGTTCAGTTCTAGTTCAGTTCTAGTTCAGTTCTAGTTCAATTCTAGTTCAGTTCTAGTCAATTCTAGTTCAATTTAGTTCAGTTCTAGTTCAGTTCTAGTTCAGTTCTAGTTCAGTTCTAGTTCAGTTCTAGTTCAGTTCTAGTCAGTTCTAGTTCAGTTCTAGTTCAGTTCTAGTTCAGTTCTAGTTCAGTTCTAGTTCAGTTCTAGTTCAGTTCTAGTTCAGTTCTAGTTCAGTTCTAGTTCAGTTCTAGTTCAGTTCTAGTTCAGTTCTAGTTCTAGTTCAATTCTAGTTCAGTTCTAGTTTAGTTCTAGTTCAATTCTAGTTCAGTTCTAGTTCAATTCTAGTTCAGTTCTAGTTCAGTTCTAGTTCAGTTCTAGTTCAGTTCTAGTTCAGTTCTAGTTCAGTTCTAGTTCAGTTCTAGTTCAGTTCTAGTTCAGTTCTAGTTCAGTTCTAGTTCAGTTCTAGTTCAGTTCTAGTTCAGTTCTAGTTCAGTTCTAGTTCAGTTCTAGTTCAGTTCTAGTTCAGTTCTAGTTCAGTTCTAGTTCAGTTCTAGTTCAGTTCTAGTTCAGTTCTAGTTCAGTTCTAGTTCAGTTCTAGTTCAGTTCTAGTTCAGTTCTAGTTCAGTTCTAGTTCAGTTCTATTTCAAGTCTAGCTCAATTCTATTTCAGTTCTATTTTGGTTCTAGTCCATTTCTATTTCAGTACTAGTTCAGTTCTTTTTCATGTTTAGTTCAGTTCAAATCGACAGAAAAACAAAGAATTTTCAACTTTTCAACCAGTAAATTAGATACAACTAAATGAAATAGAAGTATTAATAAATATTTTCATTAAGACCATATTTATTTAACAATATCAATTTCAAATTATTAAGCCTCTACAATATTTCACCTATTTCAATACCCAAGTTCAAAGAAAACCATACAAATGTTCCAAAGATACCATAAATATATAGAGAAGGTTTTAAACAATCTGTTAATTTTTTAATTTCATAACGATCATGATAAATCAGTAAAGAAACATATAAAGTATTCTAAAATTAAAAAAAAAACAAAAATTCTTATTAATGATTAATTAATATATCATTAATACACACCATAATTAGAATGGGATAGACACATGTGGCTACGGCAATAAATGTAATTGTATAGAATTTTTCCAAAAATTTAGCAATAAAAATTAAAACGAAAATTAATATGATTAATAATACATTGGCACTGAAAACAATTAAAACGTATATGGGTAAATGATCCTGAAAGTAAAATAAATTAAACTTGTTTAAATAAAATAAATATTAAAAAAAAAGTAACAATAAAAACGTATGCAAATACGTCAAATGTAAACGTCACAGGGTGACATTACGCATTTTAAAACACCACATGTGTAGCAATGAATTACCACATTAATTTTAGCTCCAAGACAAATGATCACTACCATACTTATTAAAATGGCGGCTATGGAAATATACAGCACTATAGGATTCACATGATTGACTACTACGCTTAAAGCAATAACCAGAATTTCAACCTAAAAAATATTATACAGGAAAATTACATACAATAAAGTAATTGGTTATACCTTGTTCGTATTCGAGTAAATAAAAACTGAATCGATTAATATGAAATTCCTATTAAACACCACATTAACTTTTAATCGAATCCAATTAAAGATTTCATAAAATTTCTTATTTATCCATTCCCACTACTTACCAATAAAATGGTAAATATCCATTCCACTCCAGCTGGTAAAATGTTGCCCATACAATCAAATACCGCAATTATAATGATAATTAACAGAAATGTTAAATAAGCTCCAAATATCAGCCATGTATCAATTAAAAATTTAAATGTTTCGCTAAAGATTTTCGTTTAAATTATTGTCAATTTAAATTCAACGAAGCACTAAAGTAATTCTTACAAATTTACCAAAAGACACCATTGTATTATTGAGTTGAGAATAAAGATGGTGCTCAATGAATATATTTTAGAAATTTTACTTTCAAAATTAAAACTTCCAAGAGAGTTTTCCATTTACGATCTTTGATTAACAAAAAATTTTTTGAAACAATTTTTGAAAATGAAATGTTTTGTATTTCGCTTGATACACTAAGAAAAAAAGTTTAGTTTAGAAGAAATATTTACAAAAAAATGTAGGTCCTGTAATTCAGTTCCAGTTCAATTCTAGTCAGTTCTAGTTTAGTTCTAGTTCGGTTCTAGTTCAGTTCTAGTTCTAGTTCTGTTCTAGATCAGTTCCAGTTCAGTTCTAGTTCAGTTCTAGTTCGGTTCTAGTTCAGTTCTAGTTCAGTTCTAGTTCAGTTCTAGTTCAGTTCTAGTTCAGTTCTAGTTCAGTTCTAGTTCAGTTCTAGTTCAGTTCTAGTTCAGTTCTAGTTCAGTTCTAGTTCAGTTCTAGTTCAGTTCTAGTTCAGTTCTAGTTCAGTTCTAGTTCAGTTCTAGTTCAGTTCTTGTCAGTTCTAGTTCAGTTCTAGTTCAGTTCTAGTTCAGTTCTAGTTTAGTTCTTGTTCAGTTCTAGTTCAGTTCTAGTTCAGTCTAGTTCAGTTCTAGTTCAGTTCTAGTTCAGTTCTAGTTCAGTTCTAGTTCAGTTCTAGTTCAGTTCTAGTTCGGTTCTAGTTCAGTTCTAGTTCAGTTCTAGTTCAGTTCTAGTTCAGTTCTAGTTCAGTTCTAGTTCAGTTCTAGTTCAGTTCTTGTTCAGTTCTTGTTCAGTTCTAGTTCAGTTCTAGTTCAGTTCTAGTTCAGTTCTAGTTCAGTTCTTGTTCAGTTCTTGTTCAGTTCAGTTCTAGTTCTAGTTCAGTTCTAGTTCAGTTCTAGTTCAGTTCTAGTTCAGTTCTAGTTCGAGTTCTAGTTCAGTTCTAGTTCAGTTCTAGTTCAGTCTAGTTCAGTTCTAGTTCAGTTCTAGTTCAGTTCTAGTTCAGTTCTAGTTCATTCTAGTTCAGTTCTAGTTCAGTTCTAGTTCAGTTCTAGTTCAGTTCTAGTTCAGTTCTAGTTCAGTTCTAGTTCAGTTCTCGTTCAGTTCTAGTTCAGCAGTTCTAGTTCAGTTCTGTTCAGGTCTAGTTCAGTTCTAGTTCAGTTCTAGTTCAGTTCTAGTTCAGTTCTAGTTCAGTTCTAGTTCAGTTCTAGTTCAGTTCTAGTTCAGTTCAGTTCAGTTCTAGTCAGTTCTAGTTTCAGTTTCTAGTTCAGTTCTAGTTCAGTTCTAGTTCAGTTCTAGTTCAGTTCTAGTCATTCAGTTCTAGTTCAGTTCTAGTTCAGTTCTAGTTCAGTTTCTAGTTCAGTCTAGTTCAGTTCAGTTCAGTTCTAGTTCAGTTCTAGTTCACAGTGCTAGTTCAGATCTAGGTTCCGTTCTAGTTCATTCTTTCAGTTCTAGTTCAGTCTTCATTCAGTTCAGTTCTAGTTCAGTTCTAGTTCAGTTCTAGTTCAGTTCTAGTTCAGTTCTAGTTCAGTTCTAGTTCAGTTCTAGTTCAGTTCTAGTTCAGTTCTAGTTCAGTTTTCTAGTTCAGTTCTAGTTCAGTTCTAGTTCAGTTCTAGTTCAGTTCTAGTTCAGTTCTAGTTCAGTTCTAGTTCAGTTCTAGTTCAGTTCTAGTTCAGTTCTAGTTCAGTTCTAGTTCAGTTCAGTTCTAGTTCAGTTCTAGTTCAGTTCTAGTTCAGTCTAGTTCAGTTCAGTTTAGTTCAGTTCTAGTTCAGTTCTAGTTCCTAGTTCAGTTCTAGTTCAGTTCTAGTTCAGTTCTAGTTCAGTTCTAGTTCAGTTCTAGTTCAGTTCTAGTTCAGTTCTAGTTCAGTTCTAGTTCAGTTCTTGTTCAGTTCTTGTTCAGTTCTAGTTCAGTTCTAGTTCAGTTCTAGTTCAGTTCTAGTTCAGTTCTAGTTCAGTTCTAGTTCAGTTCTAGTTCTAGTTCAGTTCTAGGTCAGTTTTAGTTCAGTTCAGTTCTATTACAGTTTTAATTCAGTTCTAGTTCGTTTGGTTAAGTATTAGTTCTTATCTTTGCAGCACAGTGTAATTAAAAACATTTGCATACTTGCTTCAATATTAATAATCTTAAATAATAATATAAACTGTTAAAGTAAACAATTACTATCCATACGTTACGGGGGGATTTCCATAAGCGTAAATACTAATTAACCAATTTTCAACAAATGTCAAATAACTCGCTTCATTGCGTTAATAAACCCTGCCTAAACGGGTAAAAACCCGTACTAATGTTTAGTTCAGAAAAGTAAAACAAATCAATTCTAATAAATTTTGCATTAAATAATACATTTTATTGTAAAAAAACACACAAATATTTTATAAAACAATAATTATTAATATTAACAATAATAAAAATGATTACTTAATAACTTGTCATAAAATCGTCACGCCTTAAACTTTTGATATAACGCACTGGAAGTTCGGGCAAATAAACACAAATAAAATACATCAGTGGACCAAAAATTATATAAAATGCCAACCAAAAAAATAAAGTAAAAATTGTAAATGCATCCATGCGTTTGTTTTTTTAAGTATTTTTTATGTTTTGCACAAGTTCAAAAAAAAATGATGTAATTGTCAAGGCGTTTTAAAAGATTTGTTTTGTTTAATTTAAACTTAATTACTAATATCACTATGATTAATTAATTAATGAATTTTGTTTTAAAAAAAAAATACACAAAATTTCAATAAAACAGTATTTAAGCAGGTAACTTTAGTACACAATTTTAAAACAAAAAATGTAATAAAAACAAAATACACCGTTTTGAAAAAAAATAATTAAAAAAAAAATATTCGTTAATTAATCCAGTTCCCAATTAATCCAGTTGGAAAAAAACTAAGAAATGCGGAACTGTTAAGAATTTTTCTAGGAATGCCATCTGTAAAGATACAAAAGTTCAAAACAAAAAGATATTAGTAATGTTAAGAAAATAATAAAAAAAAACTAGTTTGAAATTGAGAAAAAAAAAATATAATTTTTAAAAAATTTTTATTAATAAAAAACAAAACAATTGTTTCTTTTGTTTAGTGAAACCTACACAAACAACAATAAAATTTATTATTAGCAATTCACAGCTTTTGTATTTTTTGTTTGTAAATCATATAAAAAAGGCGAATTATTAATTTCAAATCAAATTCAGTAAAAAAAAATAACTTTTTCTTAACTCTCCCGTTTAAACGGTCTTATTTTGAAATTGTGTACTTGCACTCTCTATGTTCTGGCTCAGACTGATTGTTTGTTTAATAATAAAAGTTTTGTTAACGTGATTTTATAAAAATTAAAAAAAAAAAAAATTGTTGTTTTGGCCCAAGTTTTACATACTAATAATGTTTATTGGTTGGTTGTTGGTGTGTTTTGTATTTTTCATGTATACATGTTTCAGTTAGTTTAGATATTCCTAAATTATGGGGTTTTAGCTACGCTGCTGTGTTATATACACCAAGGGTAAAGAACAAAAAACTTTGTACATACATATGTTTGTATGAGATGTTTGTGAGCACAAAAAACGGCCAATTGATAAAAATGTTGTATTGTATGATTATATACAGTAGAACTTCTATGGTTAACACTTGAAATTTTCTAATGAGAATTTATGACTTAATGTTCTAATGTTCTAGACTGGACTATAGTCTCGTCTATACTCTGGACTACAGCCTGCTGATAGTCTGAACTAAACTCTAGTTTAAAGTCTGGACTATGGGTCTAAAGTATGGTATATAGTCCCATCTATAGTCTGAACTATAGCCTCACCTATATTCAGAAATGTCGTCTAGTCTATAGTTAAGACTATAGAGTAGACTATAGTCTATACTATAGAATAGACTATAGTCTATTCTATAGTCTGGACGATAGTCTATTCTATAGTCTGGACTACAGTCTATTCCATAGTCTGTATAGTCTGGACTATAGTCTAGTATATAGTCTGGACTATAGACTAGCCTACATTCTGGACTATAGTCTAGCCTATATTCTGGACTATACTTACTCTATAGTCTGGACTTTAGTCTAGTCTGTAGTTTCAACTATAGTCTAGAATATAGACTAAAAAATATTCTGGACTATAGGTTTGTCAGAAGTCTGGATTATAGTCTTGTCTACAGGCTGGACAATAGTCTAGTATCCAGTTTGGGCTATAGTCTTGTCTATAGTATTTTCTATAGTGTGGAGTATAGCCTGGACTATAGTTTTCTCTATAGTCTTGTCTATAGTCTGGACTATAGTCATGTCTATAGTCTGGACTATAGTCTGCCTATAAGTTGGACTATAGTCTTGTCTATAGTCTGGACTATAGTCATGTCTATAGTTTGGACTATAGTTTTTTCTATAGTCTGGACTATAGTCTTGTCTATAGTCTGGACTATAGTTTTGTTTATAGTCTGGATTATATTCAGGACTATAGTCTGGACTTTATTCTGGACTTTAGTCTGGACTATTGTCTGGACTATTGTCTGGACTATTGTCGGGACTATAATCTGGACTATTGCCTTGTATAGCCTGTTGTATAGCCTGGACTATCTTGTCTTGTTTATAGTCTGGACTATCTTGTCTTTTGTGTTGTCTTGTCTATAGACTTGTCTTTAGTGTGGACTATATTCTTGTCTATAGTCTGGACTATAGCCTTGTCTATAGTCTGGACTATAGCCTTGTCTATTGTCTGGACTATAGTCTTGTCTATAGTCTGGACTATAGTCTTGTCTATAGTCTGGACTATAGTCTTGTCTATAGTCTGGACTATAGTCTTGTCTATAGTCTGAACTATAGTCTTGTCTATAGTCTGGACTATAGTCTTGTCTATAGTCTGAACTATAGTCTTGTTTAGTTTTGAACTTAACTAGGGAATTTATTAAATTTAAAAGTTCATTGTTAAAAAAATGTTTTTAAATAAACTTCCTCTATTAGAAATAAATAAGATTTTTACTTTTTTTAAAAACAACTTTGCTAAACAATGGTGATTATGTTTATTTTTACATATAGATAAACAAATATGTATTTACTTGTTTTTTACTTAAATATATATATACATTTTATATGAATAATAAATATA